AGGAGGTCCCTCTCCTTGGCCTGAGCGGAGGAATTTGCAGACAAAATGTGAGCATTACAATGTCTCAGAGCAGTGAAAGGCTTGTCAGTGTCTTTGATTTATATCCCCTGAGCTCATGGAAACTCTCTCAAAGAAAATAAAAGTGTCCGTGGCCTTGTTCAAGCTTTAATCATTGCTAAGTGCCTGCACCAACTGAACAGCAATGGGATTCAGCACAGCTTGAAGCCTGTTTCAGCAGGACAAAAATCTCTATCATCTTTTAGACACAAACTCAGCTTCTGGAGTTTATGCCATGCTCACATGAAAGCCCACTGCCCACATTACAGCCCAGGGCATCACTGAACACCAATAACTTCCTGAATGATTCTGGTTGCTATTCTGTGGCCTCAACTGGCTTTTTAACTGAATTAAAGCAGTCTGGGCAGCACCCAGCGAGATGCCATTGCACAGCTGAACAATGCTGATTCTTCAATGCGGATACAAGCTACAGGCAGCAGATCCTGCCAGTGCCAAAGGAAGGCAGGGCACGTCTTACTGACTTCAATCTGATGTGGAGAGCGGCCAACAGATGTGCTCAGGAAGCTGGGAGCAACTGCTAAACCTCAGCGTGATGGTGCGGTGCTTGGGGTGCTAAAGGAAGGGGGGTGACCCTCAAAAGGCTGAAATACCAGTTTTGGCTCTCCAAAGAACATCCTATGTGTCCACAGCCCACGCTTGGACACACAGTCCTCAGCGACTTACCCTTCTCTCCAACCCATCCTTCAGAGCGGATGACCGTGTTCCTTGCTGTAGGATGGTGAAGATGCATCCAGTGCAGTTTCTGAGATACTGGGACATTGCAAGGATGGAGGAGCATTTCAGAGCAGAGGCACCAATTCACCAGCCATTTGGCCTTCTAAGGTTTGTATATGCAGTAGTTCTGATCTGCTTTGAAGTCATCCAAGCGCATTAAATACATCAGCTGTTTTCAGACGCTCGCTCATGCAGTCTTGGTTACCCTATGGCAGCATTTGCTGTCCTGAAAGAGGAAAAAGACACTCTCCACATAGCAGCATATGGGGTGTTTCCTCCAAAATGCACTGAAATCTCTAGGGAGAAGCATCCCATAGAGAACATCCTGCACCCCAGCAGACCTCCTACCCCTGCCCCATCTCCAGTTGCTCCTTTGTACCTTGAGGCGCTCAGCCTCACTCAGCTTTGATTTCCCTTGATCCCAGTGAGCTGTACTTACTCCCTCTTTGTTTCCCCGTGGCTTTCTTTGTCAACATCAGTAATTTCATAGAATCATGGAACGGTTTGGGTTAGAAAGGACCTTAAGATCACCCAGTTCCAACCCCCTGCCATGGGCAGGGACACCTCACACTTGAGTGATTCACACACTGGATGAGCTGGATGATCTCGAAAGGTCTTTTCCAGCCTGGTTGATTCTATGGTTTGAAAGCATTCCTACACCAAACACCCTCTAGAAGCTGCTGCAGGGGGTGGGTTTGTGCAGGGCTCCCCAGCACCCAGGCTGGCACAGAGCCCCGCAGGGGACCGCGTCACACCGCTTGATTTCCATCGCTCCTACAACCGCCTTCCAAACCTTCCTGGCTGAGAGCAAGGAATTTTACCTTCCCGTTTCCTGCTGCACGTTCATTGCTGTGGCCTTTCCTGGCTCACAGACCACTGTTACCTGTCCCCTGATGGCGCTATCTATAAGCTTCTGCCCAAGGTGACAGCGGAAGGGACTCAGGAGCTGGACTTGGGGGCTGCATCCTCACCCCCAAAGGCCCAGGAAGGGACCATATGAGGCCACAAGCAGCTTTGTGTGCTGTAATATCCAGATGGAACACATAAGCCTGTTAAAAAAAGGCTTTATCTGGTGTGAATTACTGTTTTTTTAATAATTTTTAGCTGTAACAGGAGAAAATATCTTCCTTAAAATGCTTCACTCTTAATACTTCGGGGTATTGAGGTTTACTGCAATAAGATACACACAAAGCAGACCCTATGATGGAGAAACTCTCCAGTTTAATTAGGAATCGTCTAGGCTCCCCTTCTTCCTGCACGTGGCAGCGGAGAGCTGGATGCACTGTACTGGTCCTGCCTGGACCCTGCCTGTTCAGCATCAACTTCCTGACCACACGAGCCTCCCCCAGGCTCGGAGCCGGGTGGGCAAGGAGGCTGGGGCTCTGTCCTCACTGGTATCAGCCTTCCTGTGGTTTGGCATTGCATTATGCTAACGCAAACCCTCCAGAAATGTATTTGGGCATCACTGCTCTCCAGTTGCCCCTCAGTAGCCAAGAGATGATATAAACGGATGCTGGAGAGGGACTCTTCATCAGGGACTGCAGCGATAGGACAAGGGGTGATGGGTTCAGACTGAAACAGGGGAAGTTCAGGTTAGATCTAAGGCAGAAGTTCTTCCCTGTGAGGGTGCTGAGGCGCTGGCACAGGGTGCCCAGAGAAGCTGTGGCTGCCCCATCCCTGGCAGTGTTCAAGGCCAGGTTGGACACAGGGGCTTGGAGCAAGCTGCTCCAGTGGAAGGGGTCCCTGCCCATGGCAGGGGGTTGGAACTGGATGATCTTAAGGTCCTTTCCAACCCAAACCAGTCTGGGATTCTGTTATTTCCCTCTCAAGCTCGCACACATCCGTCTCTAACCTATGAGGCTGTCTAATCTTCCCTTGAATTACTGCCTGACCACCCCCTCCTTCAGGGAGCTCTTTTATCACTCCTTTGCTCTCACCATCTGCAAGGTTTCTGGAGTTTCTCATTACCTTTACTGCACCTCAGCAGTGGGCTTTTTCCTCCCTCAGGAAGGGGGGTGCTGGCTCACAGCACACCTCACATCTGGCTCTGCTGGAAAACACAGGATCTTTCCTCCTTACTCCATCCTTTCACATTCATTACACGCTTTGCATCGTATTAAGCAGGAGAATTCAAACCCCTCTCCTGCTCCAAATACCCAAACCACCCAACATTCAAACCTGCTTTCTTGGAACGCCAATGAAAATCAGCACATTGAGGTCTGTATTCTTCATTTCAAGCAGTTTCACCGGTGCCAGCAACCTTAAAACCTCCAAACTTTCCAACCACTTCTGTGTCTAAGCATTTAAAAACTAAACCTGCCGATGGCCTCTTATCTTGCTTTGACACCGAGATGAAAACAAGGGATCCAGGTTGAGGATTTATCACCTTAAAAGAACAGGACAAGAGATGAACAATACAAAATGATGCAGCTTTTTCTGTTATTTTATTGATTATTAGTGAAGAAAAATTGAGCTTTCATCTTTCTGATGTGTTACAATTGCTTTCTGCGGCGGGTGGAGAGCCACGACTCCTTCTTTAAAGGCTATATAATACTGCCCTATTGCATGATTAACTTCGACACTCTACGTTCTCATATGGTATTGCTTTCTCCCTCTGGGTATAGAAAATGGTCCATGAAGTCCACGTTTTGTTTTTCCAGAATCAACTGTTATTCTATCTACTGGTTTAAGATACATTCAAATAAAAAGCTACTTAAATTCACTTGCAATAAGTGCACACATACAACAGCAGAGAGAGCTGATGACATTTTACTGAAACATTGTAAGTTCATAGAATAAATAGAAGTCTTCAAACACATGCAGAAACTGCCCCATGTGTTTCTCCTTTCCCAAACACACCCTTAGTGTCCATAGCACTACTGCAGTAACTACTTCATTCAGAGAAGAGACCAAACCCACCCACCTACCTCTCACCACAGAGACTGAAAGACAGTTCCATTTATACAAGACGTGATCAGTGCTAATGATTTAGTAACAGTCTGGTACAAACAGTAATTCACGGCAAGTACGTGTAGTGGGATAACGGGAACAAACAGGGAGCTTGGTTTAGATGCCACAGGAAACGCAAGGAAAAGAAAGTGGATGTTAAACCCTCTCCCTTCACTCCTCTCCATCTCCCTTCTGAGCAAATGCTCTAGAAACAAGCTCTTTCAGGTCCATACAGTTTCAGGATATTCCAATTCTCTCTACAAGCAAAACTATGGGAGAAACAGAGAAGAAACTCACAATAGAAGCAAGGATTGCTTGGGGTGTAACTAAAGGCTGTCAGGAGGCCTTCTGTTTCCCTTCTGATAAAGCAGGAGGTTATAGGTTTGGTATTGGGAGGTATTTTTTCAGTTTAAAAGACCACGAAATAAAGTGCTTCCCACCCTTATACCTCTGCTAAGGTACCAAAACGGGTAATAGGTGGGGAATATTCTCACCCTAGAGACCAGTGGGCAACTGCGAGCTGCTCTTCCCAGCTAGTACCATTCCATAGCTAAATGGGTTTTGTGGTTCTTTGCCAAGGTTTCAAGGACACACCTTGTTCTAACACTGGCTTTGCTACATGTTCTGCAACATGCCTCTGTCAATCTGTTCCCTAGCTTTGACTTGTAGGAAGTCATTGCCACATTTACCTCCCCGGTGGTGAAAGCTGTTCTCTCCGGGGGCACCGACAAAGCATGTTTCAGAGGCAGCACCACGCAGCAAAGCATTTTCCCCTCCACAGTCCAGTGCAGCATTGAAAAACAGAACAAAAACGAAAGAGAAGTCACACAGAGCATGTGTGTGTGCCACAAGGAACAGGAATATGTTGATACCGCAGGTACCAGAAGGCCTGTGGACCTCGACACAGCATTGCTTCAAGTTTATCATCTTGGGGAGGAGAGAAGACAGAACAGAAAGATGCAGTTCCATCCATTCAGGCATAACAGGCAGGCACTCCAGTAACTCATTGACAGAAGCAAAATTAAAACTACCATGTTAAATCGAGTGCTTTTTGCTTTAACGAAGCACAAATGCTCCCATGCTTCAAGTGATGTACCGCGAGGTCTCACGTAACACATTCAACAGCTTCCCATGCACCTCTGGCTCAAGTTAGGCTAGCTACAGGATTCACGTTGTCCTAGTCAAGTTACTTCAGGGTTGGTTTTATTCTTTTGTGGTTTCTTTCAGTGCACCTTAGAAAAAAACAACTTTTCCAAAGGTTAGTGAGTTACCTTTAATAACAGCAATCATAACACAGAGCCTCTGCACTCAACTGAGCGGTAAAACAATCCCATTAGTTACAACCCATCTGGTACATATTTACACATTTTATACAAAGTTTACACAGTTCTCCCATTAGGCACGAAGTTGATTTGTCAGACTCCAGAGGCAACGAAGGGGTGGTGGGGAGAGGAAAAGGAGGTCGGAGAAAGAATGTATTTAAAAAGACAAGCTGTAAAAACAAAGTCCTTCACCGTAAGCTAGTTTGCTTCGGGAGCTTGGTTCCCATGAGGATCCCCGAAGTGAGAGATGTTGGGCCTTTCATCTGCATGCTGGAACCCACCATGGTGGGGAAGCTCCGATTCCTTCGGATGCCAGTGTTGAGCTGGATGCCCCCGATGGCACTGGTTACGGCAGGGCAGCCCAATGGGAGACCGTCTGGTGCCAGGCCTCCAGGAACAAAGGCCCTCACTGGTCCTTGTGCCCCACAGAGAAGAGGTCCCTGGTCACCAGTTAAAGGAGGAGCTGATGTTTGCCCTGAACTCACAACTTTGGCAATACCAAACCTCTTGACTTTGTCCACGAGATTAAGGTTGGAAACAGACACGTCAGTCTGACTCTCACTGTTCCTGATGTTCTTTTTATTCCTCACCTCCTTCAAGATTGAGCTAGCAGGCTTCGAAGCCAAGAAGTTGTCGTAAGGTGGGCTGGTGCACTTGAACTCGAAAGATGGAGGGGAAGAAGAAGGTGTCTGCATAGGCGAGTTTGGAGGAGTGGAAGGAATGATGGCCATCTTAGGGATGTACGTGTTCAGGAGGGTGCCCTTGCTGGCTCTGTCCCAGCTCTGTGGATTGTACACTGCTGCCGAGATGCCCCTTTCCTTCAGGAGCCACACCAGCCCCAGAGACGTGCTCATCGTCGTCGTGGATTCCCGGAGGTTAGTGAAGGATTCGGCCAAGCTCAGGCGCCGCGGGGTGCAGGGGGTGGCCACCGGGGTGCCTTTCAAATTGCCAATGCTGCCACCAGCTGGAGTAGGTGCTGGGTTAAGGCTGAAAGCAAAGGAGCAGGCAAATTACTCTCTCCACCATGGAATTAAAGCTTACTTCGCAAGCAAGACTGTTAACTCCCAGCAGGGTCTTTTAGCCATTTTGAGGGTGCGCACAAGACTGCCAGTTCCCAGCTCCTCAGAAATGTGATGACAAGTGCAAAAGCATCATCTCTTACAAAACACATCTCTGCACTTTGCATGCTTCACCACCCTGTCTCATGAGATCGATGCATTCCCCAGCACCCACCATCACATTTCTTCTGATAACCAAAGTGACAGGCTCCTGATCAACACCTTCAGTTTTTCTTCCTGATCTACTGGCTGTCACAACTCCCAGTTGCTTCCCTGAGACAAGGATACGGGGGGGGACTTGACTAATGGTATAAGCAAGACAGATTTACTTTCTGGTGTCACTTTGAGCACAGAGCTGCTAGTCTTTAGTGCTGCCGGGTCATAGCAGAGACAGCAGCAAGGGAGGAGGGGAACACATGCTACAGAAGCATCCATAGGAAAACTGTTGAAGTTGGCACTGTCACCAAGTCAAACCCTTCTTATGTTGAATTCATTTTCACTTAAGGGTAAGGGGATGGAGGACCTGAGTTTGGATGGAGATGCACAATGGTGTGAATTATCTTCAAAGGTGATGGGAAAAACAGCTTCGAGCTCTTTGTCAGTTGGCCAGCGGGTAACTGATGGCAGCAAACCAAGCATGCAAAGAGCCACCCTACTGTTCATCTGGTGAAACATTCATTTCTATAGTTTGAAACATTGCTAACTTGTTCCCCAATTCCAGTTCTTTCTTCTAAACTACGTACAGGCAGTGGACAAGGAAGCACTGAATGGGCAACACTGCACATTCAGAACAAGTGACAGACATGAACTAGATGGTTTTAAGGTCCTTTCCAACCCTAACTAGTCTATGATTCTATGACATACTGATGCTTAGTGCTCTCTTAGGGCATTTTGTTTTCTTAAGCACACTACTGATAGTTATGAAGGGTTGGGATTTCTTGAAGAATATCAAACTGCATTCATTCTGCAATCACCCTCTCTCCAGAAGCTGCCCATCTGACTCAACACAGACTCAACGCAATTCCAAAGACATCCCAAGTTGATGCCAAGTGTGAGCCATCCTTAAAAAACTTGTTCCTAATAGATCAGATTAGCCACAGCGTGTTTACCTATGGATAATCCCCACTCAATTTATGGAAGTCCAAGGTACATCATTCATTGAATAAGGTGCGGTGCACTCAGGTATTCCAGAAACAAGGCATGTGGGACATCCCCGACACTCCAAACTCATGTCTCTTTGGGAGAATCCCAGGGGTTCCATTCACCTTTAAAAAACCCTTTCCAACCGTGCTCAAATGATGGGTTTTGCCACATATACACACATGAAAAATGTAATTCCACAGTTTTATTTCCTAGGCATGGATTCGTCCCCTTTAACGTCATTTAAAGGCTCTTGAACAATGCAACACTTGGTGCTAACAGACAATTCATTGACATGGGAGCTCACCACTGCTCAAAGAAGGAAACCTTCCCTCTCATCTCGCTAGGTTAGTGACCAGAAGACACTCGGCAAAGAGGCAGACAAAAGCCAAAGCCAGTGCAAAGGAGCAGGAAAACCAAGCAGCTGTGAGGGGAAGGAAGAGGGGAAAGAATGGGATCTCCCCTTTTCAGCAGAGCCATGGGCTCAGCCATAACATGCTACTTAAAGCTGGGTTTTCTGTACCAAGAAATGCATCAAATAGCCACATGGAGACAATCTGGCTGGATTTCCATGTATAGAGAAGACACAGGCCAATGAATGAATCGCCTCCTTTTTGTCCATATGGCCAAATGAGACTGGGATTTGCAGTCTCATTTCAGCTTACATTAGTGAACTCTGTGAGGTTAGACACCCTGCTTTGAGCTGAGCTTTCTGATGAGCTTAGATCATCACCTAATGGTATATAAGGCACTCCTTAATTAAGGAAATATCAAGCTGATGCTGTGAAGCCCCAAGTTAGGTCTCTCTCCATGGACCAAGATGTGACCGACACGATCTCAACAATGATCTGGAACTTCTACCATAAGCAAGTGAAATTGCCAAAGGATTTTTACCCTGCAGCTGTGATTCAACAAGAGGAATCCCATCTATTCCTCCCTGTAAGCTGGAATGTACAAAAGTCTGAGAAAGCACAGAAGTACAGAAGTCTTGAAAAGCATGAGGGAGGGAAAAGGAAGAGAAAGAAAACTTTCTGCACGAACGGACTTTTTGGAAACCCAGATACAGGCTGTTCATTATCAGGCTTCTAAGATGTCCTAGCCACAAGATTAAAACTACAGCACTCCAATGGCTTATTACCTCCAACAGCTTCTTTCTTTCCAGCTCCAGATTTCAGTTGCACAGATATTCAGATTAGCGGTTCTACTGCTTTGTCAGCACAGAACACACTACAGAGCAATTAAAAACCCCAGACATCCCTGCTAGAAAGCAGTTGTTATGCAAGTGCTGCTTTATTGTTTGCTTGATCATTTTGGCATTACTTTAAGTGGGAAATATTCTCCCCATTAAACTGACCAACGCTGCAGAGCAGCCTGGACACAGACACAGAAAGACTCAAACTGGTCCCAGCAGCTCAGCCCAGGGACAGTTTCAGAGTTAGACTGGGAACAGAAACACATAAATGAGCATCTCATTTGGCAAGAGGAAATCTAGTCAGGTTAGAGCATCACCTGGGTTAGAGGCTAGGTTAAAACGCAACCAGGTAGGCAAATACCAAACCTCTTTGGGTTAGCTGGTGCCACACACACTGGCATTCCTTGGACACGGCCCTGCCAACACAGACGCGGCTGGCAGAGTTGCTCACCCCCTGCCACGCTGGATCATAGTGTGTGCCCTATCCCTCCTCTCAGCATAAGGAGACATAATGCAGTTTCCTCGTCCTCCTCACATGACCTGTGAAGAACCGTTTACAGTTGGTAAGGAGGAGCTCCTTAAACACGGCTGCTGAAACACATCACGCTCTTTATTTCCCTCTTCTTCCTCCTGAACGAATGATGAGCTTCGGTTTAACTAAGGCAGCTGAAAATACACTGCATTTAGCTGTCAGTATGGCTCCTTTGGTAGATTTAGTAACCAATGTAATCAAGGAGTTTATTATGACCATAAGCAACAGCAGTTCAACAGTAATAAGAAACTTAAACCAGAACTACAGCCATTTAAAAGGATCTTTTCAGTGACGCTGTTGAGAAGACAGAAAAGAATAAACTCAAACCAGACAGGCCATGATTAACTATGCCCAGAAAAGGAAGCAGAAAAGTTACATGGACTCATTCAGGTCCTTTCCACCCCACAGGTTTTCATGTTGAGTAATACCCTTACTTTTCATGCACTCCTTAGGCAGTCAGCGCCCATCTCATGTCTAAACAAGTCTACACACAGCAGCTCTGAATGGGGACTCACACAACGGTATGCTCCTACACAGGAGCTGCAAGGGGCAGAGAAAGCAATGAGGCATTGTCCTTCTGAACAGACAAAACAGCCTTTAAATACTGGTTTGCTAAGAAAGGAAAGTTCCCTCTTTAGGTATGAAATTCACTCACCCCTCTGGTTCAGACCTTCAACTACAAGGCTATCCAATTGCCTTCTGTGGGCATGTACTGCCTATACACACCGACTGCTGTTATTAAGCCAGTTCATTAGTTCAGTCTGGCTGCTGTGAACTCATTTCCAACAATTAACACCAAGGAACAAAGCAGACAACTGCCTAGTTTTCACTGAGGCATGTTTCCTTTTCCTCTCCTCATGTACTTCCTGCCTTTCTTTACCTGAGCACCCGTTTCTTCTGCACCAAAGATTTAAATTCACCTCCTTGGAAAAAAAATCACCCCTATTTTTGGTGAGACATCCCATTCTGAGCATTCACACATGAGGACTACAACTAGTTTGGTATCAAGGGTCTGGTTTGGATATTGGAATCCAATTTAATCATTGCTCCTGCAATATTTCAACTAGAGACAACAAAAGTTAAGCTATTTTGCTTGGCTTTCTCAACCATTACACACGCCTCTGAGAAAATCAGGTTTTGAGGTAACACAAAATAGGAGAAATAAGCTGGGGAGCGTTGTAAGTCACCTACTGCTTTTGCTTATCCCGTTACTTGGCATTCGGTTAGAGGGAAAACCGATGGAGCTGAACGCTTTGCCATCATGGGCAACCCTTACCTTGGTGTGACTCGTGTGAGCTCATCGGAGGGGTGCAGAATGCGGCAGGTGGTGAAGGTGAAGGTGGAGTTGGTTTGTGACATGCACTTCCCAGGATGAGGTACTACATTAAAAAAAAGCAAATTCTTTGCATTTTACACAGAAAAGGGGAAAAACCAAAGTTCCATGTGCTGGTAAGACAGATGCAAGAAGTGATGAGTTACCTCGGATGGATCAATGCAAGCAAAGTGAAATACACAACAAGTGAAGTATCCCAACAAACACTTGTGCTCCAGAACAAACGCATCCAGGACTCCAAGGCCAGTGCTAAAAGGGTCTGCTGAAACTTGTCCATGACCACTAAACACTGCAGGTAAGCCTTGCTCAAACCAGATTGAGGCAATGCTTGAAGTGCTAGGCCCCATCTAAACCAGCAACTTGCGTCAGTGGGAAGTTATAAGCAGCAATTTCTAGTACCAACTCAGGAGCACTAAGATCTTCTGAATGCTTTTGCATTTCAGCTTTTAGATTGATCCACAACAAGGTATCCCCATTACTTCTCAGTAGTGGATCCAGGTCGCTAATGGGAATATAGATTGTTGGGGGGGGAGAGGATGGACACGTATTACTGTTTCTGTCTCTGCCTTTTCACATCCACAGGAAGGAAAGTGGTAGTTTTTTTGGATCCACTGCTGCCCATCTGTGACATTTCTCTTGTGCATGTGTTGAGGTTCTTTAAGGCCTATCCTCAGCTGCATGACATAGCAGGGTTTGAATAGTTATAAACAGTGTAGGAAATAATTTTCCCAACAAATGTGGCTGCAAAGATGCCACTCTCAGCACATCAGTAATTTGGGGAAGAAGCAATATAGCTCAATTTAAAAAATGAAGGACTTAGGCCAATTTCCTTCTCCTTAGTAGAGATCCTTCTGCGGATATACTAACCTGCTATAGAAGGCAGCTGTGGTTATTGCAGAATTGCTACAAAATTTAAGAGCCATGCATCTGAAAAGCTGGTTGAAAACCACCCAGAGTTAAATATTCCATCCAAGACATCATGATTGCATAGGTTCTCTTACTTAGGAACCAAACTCAGCAGTGGTCAAAAGACATGCACAGTTAAAACCCGTGTGCAGCTCCCTCCCTCTCCATCCTACCCAGCCCTCTGTGCCATTCCCTGATTAAGCCCCATTTTAATAATCACAGTACGCAACTATTCAACACATTGCAAAGGACAGACAGACCGACCAACTGGACCAGACACCACCCTGAACTTCCAGAGATGCTTTAGCAGAAGCAGAGCAAGTCTTAATTGTGGCTGTGTTCCCTTTTTCATATAGAAAGTATCACAGCTCCAAAACAGCGTGTGCAACTAGGTACTCCTTTAAGAGAACATCTAAGCAGTGTGTGAAGGGAGAGCATGGGGAGTGTGAACAGTGGAAGCAGAGGTGGCTAAGCATAAAATGTGAGGCTATTTAGCACTGGAACGTACTGCTGTACATTAAAGAAGGGTATTTCTAAAAGCCTACTGGAGTGTTAGGTTAACACACTCAAATGCTAGCACAGCATGACATAATAACAAGCTCTACTTCACCTCCAGAGATGGTAATTATGCTGCTTCAGGAATCCAGTTGCTTTAGAGGTTAGTGTGAGCACTATAAAAGCTATTACAAGGGAGCACAGCCTAGCAATCATGATTCTCTCCATATTGTAGAGAGTTAAAATCTGGAGAAAGAGCTCAAATAGCTGGACATGAAAGAATTGGTTAATTGGAGAAAACAAAGGACTTCAACATAAATCAGGTAGAAACGAAGCAATTATCCCTGGATGATGAATAGAGAACAGAATAAAGCAATGCTGGTTTAAGACTGCAAGCTCAACCCAAAGCACACAGCTGGAACACAGTAAGTGCATTTTCCCCATTTGTGATATCCATTGGGAATCCCCCCAGGCTGGAAACAGGCACATTGAAAATACACAGCTGCGTTAGCAAAACCAAGACTCATTGCTCTTAATGAGTCAGCGATAGGAGAAGGCTGCTAAAAGTAGAGAAATCACTGATTGTAATATAAGGAAATAAATCAAAGCTATTAAAAAAATCATCCATTTCCAATGATGTATTCCACCCTCAAATACCACTAAAAAGTCCTGTACCAGCTTCATCCTCCATCAGTCAACAATGGGGTGTATCACATTGCTGTAGCATTTTCCATCCTTTGGACACAACACAAAGAGAGTGAATGAGAATCTGTGGCTGTAAATGAACAAAGCTTGTAAAACAGAAACAAAATGATTCATTCCTAACCTAGTAATTCACATAAGAATGGCCATCTCCTGAGTTGGTTGTGAGGAAGTGATACATGAGGTTATAGTAAGAGACTATCATCACACGTACACATGGCAAAGTATTCTTTTAAACATAAATAATCTGCTTCAAGTGACTGTCTGAAACCAAATGTTTTATAATGTTTTATTCTTTTTCAAAGCAGTGGTAGATTAACAACGAGGCTTTGCAGCTGTGTGAAAAAATCTGTACATAATTCAGTGCTTAACAAACTTTACAGAAACATCGGTTAATTCCATCCATCATGAAATCACAAGTTAAACCGCTGGTGCCTTTTTCTCCTAAATACAATTCAAGCTAAAGCTTCGATTGCTGCTGGACCATGTTTTGTCTCTCAGTCATGAATGATTTTTTACCTTATTTTCCCAAACAATTTGTAGGCATCTGGGGGAAAATGTGAAGCATTACAGCTGGAAGAGACTCTGCCCTGTAAGCACACACACTGCTGTAACAACATCGTTTAAAATACTACAGGACCAAGCAGGTACCAGGCAAACTGAAGGCAGAGAGCTCCATCTTCTGGGAAAACAGAGCTTTCCCCACTCAAACACAAAGCTACAGAGCTACGTAAAACTCGGGTCCAGCTGCAGTACTCACGAGCTTACGGGCCATTCTGCTTGGTGCAAACAGCAGAACAGAGGTGGTTAGGACATGATCACAGGCCCAGGGAACCCTCAAAAGGCCACTTTTTTCTGGGTTTTCAACCAACTGGCGCAGAGGAAGGTATAAAGTTACAGGAAGCAAACTAGTGGCCACAAAAAGGCATCAAGACAGAGTCTGAGGAAGATGTGGAAGAGGTAGCTATGCCAAAACACCATTACCTTTCACACCATTGGTTCCAAGCTCAAATTTGCTGTGATGCCAGATGGATAGTGAGGAAGCAGAGCACAGAGCGGTCAGTAAATCTTTGTGTTTTATATAAACACCTATTGTGGCAAATACAAATTTATTCAAAAATGAACTTTCAAACAAAAAATCGGAAATCTTCAGAGTCTGACTCGATCCAGACTGGCACAAAGGTAACGTTTCAGCCCAGCTCTGAAACAAGCCACTCTGCTCATCATTTCTTTGGCATGTTTTAAGAAGAGGAGAAAACCTGGTTCCCAGTGGCATCTGGGCATCTCTTCAGCACTGGCTGGCAAGGCAGGGATAGAATGACAATAAGGCTGGGAGAGTCCTTAGAGCAATAGGTGGTATATAAAGCATTAGAAGTTTAGTTTATTGCTGAACAGAAACAAGACCCCCTCTGCCTGCTTTGGCAGAGGATAACCATTAAGAGGCACTTTCTTTCTCCACTGTGATCATCTGGAATGCAAGCTATGGAATCGCCTTTTGCCAGTCTATGTCACTAACTCCATTCTTGGGCAAGGTGAAGTTCCTGAAGACTAGGTTACAGAACCCCATTAGGTTCCACAGGACAAGACAGCTACTCTACATTTAGCAGAGTTCATCCCCTCTGGGTGAGCAGAGGTGAGAGTTCTGATACCCATTGCTACAGAGAGCATACATGGAATGCTGAAGTAGGATTTTCTTAGCTTTCCTCTGGTGACTGTCTCCCTTTCATATGTTTAAAACCATGGAGCACAGATGTAAAAAGACTTCAAAGTATTCAATGTGGCTTCAACACGAGCTGATGCAGCCCAGGGTCCCCAGATTAAAACTGCAGCACTCTAAAAGCCCATACAGAAACTGCTGACAGACTTTTCTTAAAGAATTAATGTGAAATAGTCATGCTATTTGAAAATAAAATATATTTAAATATGCATCAAAACCTGAGCTCTGAGTTACAAGAGTCATTGCTTTTCTGTACAATGGCAACCTCTTAAAAGCACGTATAGCAATCCTGCTAAAAGCAACTCAAACATAAGACATTCATTATGTAGTTTTGGGAGCTTAGGCACCTATCTGGAAAGATCTCCATGTCATGGTTAAGGTCTAAACATGAAGCACAAGAGGGCTGACCTGGTAATGCTGTGCACGTGTCTGTTCAAAGCAATCCATCAGTGGAACCAACAAACACAAGTACTGAAAGACCAGTTTCATGCACCCAAAGCCAGCCTGCAATTAAGCACATGCTGAACCAAGTGTAGCCCTTCCAACTTCAGAGTGAGCACATTCACAATGTTATTAAGTGCCCTGAACAGATCGTTTTTGGTTGGGTGCTTTCTTTTTTGGTGAAGGGAAACTAAAAGGCAATGAATTAAAAAAAAAAAAGAACAAAAAACCCAAAAAAACCCAAACCAAACACCCCCCAAACAACCCCTCCCCCAAACAGACTGTCTTTTATAATATACAACATTTTCTTTCAAATCATAAAATCAAAAAATACTGAGGTTACAAAACCCTTGTTCTGCAAAAGTGACTCGTCCTAGGTGGTATTAACATGACTGGTGCCCTACAACTTCTTTACCATTTCAGTTGTGTTGACAGTCTACACAAGTAATACACAAATTTCAGTCTAATTCCTGGATATTAGCCTAAAACTGTGATTCCAGAATTTACAATCTTCCATAAAGTTACTCCAGCCCACACACAGTATGTAGCAGTGAGAGACTAAGTGCAGGTCATAAAGTACACACGTGTTAACTTCTGAAATGCTCAGTGCCATAATTGGGATATAATCTGCATCTACGGTGAAGAAGTTATTTTATATACCAGTGGAAACTACGGGTTTCAACACAGAGACAAGAAAATTCAAGGATCATTTGGAATGACTTCTGACTCCATCCATCACTCAACAAGAAGCAACTGATAATGTGTTCTGAATGCATTTATTTCGGCCACGAGACGCTTTGGGCACTACCAGCAATCTTTGCTTTCCTGGATGTTCAAATGTTGACTTCTCTTGGCCTCATGTACTCTGCATGCCCACAAAATGACATTAAGAATAGGACTTCATAGTACTCTGCCAGAGAACACCTCATCTCCAGAGCAGAAATGGTAAGATACAAACCTCAAAGCATACATATGGAATGAAGCAGACACCTGCCCGAAAGACTAAGTTAATTTACACCTCCTGGAAATGGTCCTTGTAGGCACTGTATTTCCAAAGGCATTTTGTTTTCAGGTTAGAAGACCTGCAGCTCCAGACTGGCATATTCTGTGGTCTTCCAATAGCAACCGTAGGGAGATACTTGCTGGGTTTTACAAACTTCTTGAACTAGGTTTTTCCACAATGGAGCTCTCCTGGATTACAAGCACAAGCACTAAAGATGGCTTCCAAGATATTTCTCTCCTTCCCTTGAGTTGCTTCCACATTCACAGAGCTTATTCTGTACGTTGCCAACTGGCATCTCCTCTGGAATCACGGAAGCAATGAGGTCGTAACCTTGTGCTTGTGACAGTGCTCTAAGGAACCAGAAGGCCACACACACCCCTACCTGCAAGGCATTTCTTACAGAGAAATCAAGGAGAGGCAGAAATAATGCTTGTTCAACAGGAGCAATGGCTGCACAGTAGTGAAACACAAAAGAAATTCGTAAGCTAAACACACATCTCTGCCCCCAAAGGGTATTCTTTAGTGGATCCTAAAAAGCTCTGCCACGTTAGTGCCTAGTCTGAAAGCATCCACAATTATCTTTTCCTTATATAACACCTGGCAAATGGCTTCAACAAGCCGATGCAGCTGTGCCTTGGCTTTACTGGAGCAATGCAACCACCAGGGATGGGGTGGCTCAGGGATACTCCTAAATCCTAAGCAGCTGGGCAATTTGAAGGAAGGATGAAGAGCGAATTTTCGGTGCATTTTGTTCATTCGACACAAAGTTACTAATTTCGACCCGTTTATCCATTTCTGTAATATATTCAAATTCCTCAGCAAACAATACAAGATGAAATGAGAAATCTCATAATTTTACCTACATTGCCAATTTATTATGTAGGGAATATGCTTAAAAACCTTGTGTGAGATAACTAGAGTTATCCCAGGCAAAATCACCAGTAAGCAGGGAATATCCTGTTAATAAATGACCTGCATTCAAACTGTAATGGGAGAAAGAAAATGGAGGGAAATACTAGTCTTTCTTGCCAGTCTAATACTAGTCCTTCTAATCACAGCACAGGACTACATTTAATTTTCTACTCCAAAGAAAAAACTCTTCCAAATCATTACCCACAGACGTTTTGCTCATACATTCTTAAAACACTCCAAAGAACGGAGCTGCATCTATATCCTTGTCTATGTATAGTCCATGCCTGTAAGTTTCCAAATTTTCTATGTTCCTGTGTTGAGTATTTGTACAATTAGAGAATTCTTCACCTGAATTGTAATCCAAACAGCTGCTTTTGCAGAATTATTGTAACCTGAGTGCATGAAGAACTGCTTATTCCCCTCCTCTCTGCAGCAATGCATTTTAAAATGAACCACATCTTTTGTTGAACCTTTTATTCTGTAGTCTTTGATTATTTGTCCATGTTTCCTAAATCTTCAGCTTTCCTAGCTGTTGTTATTCAGACTCTTCAAGATCATAAAAACACGGATAATATCCCAACCTGCACACACCTCCTGCAGAGGCATCATTTATTTCCGTATTAATATATAAAAATAGGATAATCATTATTCCTGGGCAATAGATCTCATAGAATAAATAAAACTTTGGCCAATGTAAGGGTAAGTTGGAGTGTTTGAAAGTTCAAGCACTGGAACAGGCTGCCCAGGGAAGCGGTTGAGTCACCATCCCTGGAGGTATTTAGAAGATGTGGTGCTTACGGACGTGGTTTAGTGGTGGATTTTCAGTGTTAAATAAATATTGGACTCAGTGCTCTTAAGATTCCTTTAAGCTTCATGTTAACACAAGTGACAGAAAAAAGTAGTTTATATTCAGTAGTTGAGAGCACTGATCTGCCATTTCAGCAAGAGTTGAGGACACTCCGCATTTCATGAAAGTAAGAGAATTATTATTGTCTAGCCCTGAGACAATCTGATCTTCTAAAGACCAGCTAAATACTAAGTTATTTCTTCCAGAAAGGGGGGGAAGGAAGTGTCTTCATTGAAAGCAGTTATACAGAAACAAAAAGTCTGAAGAAAAAGGAGTTCTGGTAGGTTTTTTATTCTGGACTAAATATAACCCTTTATAAGTAGCAAATCTTAACAAAGACTAAAACTCCTATATAGATCATTAGAACAGAACAAAAAAACCCCAAAACAGTGACTAAAACCCCACAAACTCCAGCTACATCTATAGTCTAAGAATCTATAACCTTGTGCAATTGTAGACTGCAAATGTCAGTTCAGAGAATCAAATAACTCATGTGTCACTTAAAAACGTTTAAGTCTTCATACGGTATAAATAGGAAGAATTTAACAGTGTGGTGGAGAGGGAATGAAGGAAAATGACATTTCCCAAATGTCTGCATAAAAATATCCTTTGAACTATTTATCTCAAAGGGAATTTAAGAACAGGTCACTGTATCTGAGGTAACTGAACTGAACTTGCACTTGGGTTTAAACTTAAACAGGGGAGACTGAGATGAGCTCTTAGGCACAAGTTCTTCCCTGTGAGGGTGCTGAGGTGCTGGCACAGGGTGCTCAGAGAAGCTGTGGCTGCCCCATCCCTGGCAGTGTTCAAGGCCAGGTTGGACACAGGGGCTTGGAGCAACCTGGTCTGGTGTGAGGTGTCCCTGCCTGTGGCAGGGGGTGGAACTGGATGAGCTTTAAGGTCCTTGCCAACCCAAACCATTCTGTGATTCTATTTCTTTGCTTGATTTTTCAAGGCACTTCCATTTGTTTCAGCATAGGCAACCTAGATGAACCTTTTGTCATCATTTAGTCTTTGGTTTTTCCCAAAGTACAAAAATCTAAAGCATAGCATCACGTCTTATGAACACTCAGAAGAATCTCTGCACTATAAGCCTACAAAATACATAAAATCTATGCATTATATACACTGAAAAGAGTGCACTAAATACATATAAAAGTTACATAAGTGCCAAACAAAGCATTGTGAACAAACCACTTCCTTTTAGCAGCCTTCTCTTATCAAAATAGAGTAAAACATCAACCACAGATGCTGTTAACTGAAAAAAAAACAAAACAAAACAAACCAAACCAAAACCTAAAAAGTCAAATTAAAAGATTATTAAAGAAAGGATTTTTGAGCCAATGATGTTAGAATGGTTATGTTCTGCACACATTAACGTGCAGATGCTACACACAAAGCAACACTATGGATGCTGTTCTGGACAGATGTGAGAATGGCCCAGAAATCCATATCCTGTAAAGATGTCAGTTTTACTGGACTTAATGAGTTTCCCTCACCAGACCCCTCATCATCGTCAGCCGTGGACTCCTGCATCTCCTCTGTGAAAGCCTGAGATTGGCGGGGGTTATTCTTGTTGTCTGAAACAGTCACTTGTGCTTGTGACCTCTCACCTGAGGTCTCTGTGTGCTGAACTGGCGTCGAGGTAGTTAGGCCCTTGTAAGAAATGTCACCTGTCTCATCTTCCTCATAGTCATTAAGGCAGTACACTTCATCCAGGTCCAGGTCCAAGGTCCTGAAGCCCTTAGTGACAACCCCAGGCCTCGGGTCCAGGATGCCGCCCAGATGAGGCTGAGCCAGCTGCTGCCAGTGGTGCAAAGTGGCAGAACCTTGAAATGGAACAAGACAGACAACCAAAATAAATCAGCCATCAATCCAGGACCTAAAAGGCAGAAAACCCCACTTTGCTCATCCAGAAGACCAAAGGACTGGGAGCTCCAAACCTTTAGTGTTTCTGGCTTGAATACTTAGGAAGACGTGCTGAAATGCAAAACTGTTTCATTTGCTCTTCAGCACTTTCACATTAAATAAACTGATTGCATCGGCACTTATATAGGCAAAGACTGGTGGTAAAATGTGGCATACTTATGTACATCCTCTCCCCATCAATATTCTCATCCCCCTAAATTCATGGGGGTAAGCATGAGCAGAAAGACTTTAACAGTTGATCTGAACACCATCACAGAAAGCTCTAAGAGGAACATATACCACATATTCCCACACTAAGCAAGATGCTGAAAACATGCCCAAATTTACTACTGGTGTCTAACAGGACAGCAGTCACATAGGATTGCACAGCAATTTCAGCTTCCTATGTTAGAAAGACACATAAACTTCAGGCACATGTAAGCAGATACCTCTGACCTATACATCAAGTCTATCTCTAGCCAAGCCCCTGTGGTACAAGAACTCAACTACCATATAACTAAATACTACCATACCTGCAGCTTCATCCTTGGCAGAACAATGTTTGGAGGAAGGAAGTGCATTTCACAGGGAAAAGCATTCAATATTCAGCATTCAATAGGAGACAATGAGTCAGAAACAGCAATATATCAGATTAAATTTCCCTTATTAAAGATGGGCCCACTGAAACTAGGACACTGCTCACAAGGGCCTACATCATCCTATGTGCCCACTAGTCACTACTGTGTGACTTAAAACTACACATCTCTGGTCCTATGGAACAAAGAAAACACCTTTATTTCACTTCTACCAGCTCAAATCAGAGCAGTTTTTGTTATGTTGTTCTTGTCCCCTCTCCCCAAAGCAGAAGGTGGCACACAAAGGTCTCACCAATATTCAAAGACCAAGAAAGTTGACCTTGTTGCATGGTATATGTAAAAATCTAAACCACTGTAATAACTAGGGAACCCCATGGAAGGAGAAAAAGTCATTTCATAATCAATATATTGCAGAACAGGAAGCTTATTAGAAGTGGGGAGTGAACAGGGAAAAAAGAGTCTTTTGAATGATTTGGATCAGTGAGTAGCATTTTAATTAAGCACATATCACTTTTTCAAACCTGCAGGTTTTAGCTCAGAATAAATGATCTGCTCTATCAGCTTGAATACTGACCCTATCCTACCCCTCTCCTTCTATAGGAAGTTTTGAGAGACTAAGGAGGATTGTCACACTTGAGGCTCAAGAAGTAGAGGCCATTACAACCCCAAAATAAATAACTGTAGGGAAGAGACATCCCCATAACTTGTATTTATTTCTGAACTGCCACAGAGGTTGAAGTTTTTGATTCTATACCTGTAAAACATTCCAAAATGTGGAGAAGTGCCAGATATTGGCAAGCCTTAAGCAAGAAGTTGTGTTTTGCTGTATGACAATACTCTCAACAATTAAAGAACAACAGAGATCAAAATCTCTTTGTGTGATGCATGCATGTATCCTGCTGCTGATTCATTTCTACAGGCAAGCTTCTGCGGATGTAATCTTTTTCACCTTAAAGCTCATCAAAACTGATACTCAGAAAAATCTCTGCAGTGTACAAGCATTTAATTGAAAACATATTAAATCTTCCCCATGGAAAGATATTCACCAGAATACCTGCATTTAGAGTTCTACTGACATTACATGTTCTTAGTTTCTTCTGCAAACTGGAAATCAAAGTGGCCTGAGTTTCATCACAAAAAGGAGGGTACCCGAGTTTAATCTTGATCTCATAAAAACGTGTGGAAGGAAGATTTAAGATTGCCATACAGAAAATTAACATTGCAGAAATCAGTGCAACAGCTGTCAGCTCCCTCGTGATTATGAAAAAACCCAAACCCAAACGAAAGTTCAAAGCAAGCAAAAGTCAAATGAAGAGGGGAATGCAACACCTTGGCCAATATTCTGTCCCAGGCTCCTGCTAGACAGTTTTATACATTATGTTCTCCTGAGTGTGCAACAGTGGGCCTGCCAAGCCTAAGCAAGAAGAAATACAAAAGCAAAATAAGCATATGAACACAGTAAATGAAATTTGGGGTTCTACTCCCGATACCTGCATGATCACATGTACACTGCAGGGGTCAGAGGAAGCCTAGAATCTGTGATGCGTTGCTGCCCCAACTGCAATGAAGTGGGTAAAGACAATCAGTTCAAGGTTCTAGCTCTACAGGACACAGGGAGTGCTATTTTGTGCTTATGGCTGCAGCTGCACAGTTTAAAACCAAGCCAAATAAAAAAATCCACTAGACTGTAACTAAACCAAACCACATCCAGCAGTCACTATTTGACTAAAAGAAAGTACGTGATTTGAGGTATTTTTAAAGGTGCAAAAGAAGATTCATTTCTTATTGCTGCTGTCACCCTGTTTATTTTACTGTGGGATTTCAAAGATTGCTTTAAAGGATTAGAAGCTATTAACTGGAAATTTATTATAGAAGTGATTTTTATTTCTTCCACTTTAGGGCATAAGCACCCTTAGGAAAAGGGAAATAAAAAAGGCACAGGTACTGATTACAGTCTGCAGCTACAGCAGAGGATTTTGCCCCAGTAGGCTGAAAGTATTCATGACGTTGAAAAAAACCTCATGAAAAATACTCAGGAATAAAACTAAGCTGAAATGAGGAACAGAATTCTAAACATGTATTTAGTAAAGGGTAACAAACACTACACTTATGAAACAGGCAGACACAAATACACTGCAAATGAGATCTAAAGCTAACCAGGAGAAGTACTTTAAAAGGTGTGATAATTTGAAGGACAAAAATGACCCAATGAGAATGAACAAAACCAGGAAAAAAAAGCCCCAGACAGACAGAAAGATGATAATGACTTCAAGAGTTTATTGGAAGAAAAAAGCAGATATAATGGGATGGTGACAGAAATCTATTACAGTGGTAGCAACCAGTAACTGAAACAAAGCTGGATTATTCCTTCTCTCATGTGGTACAAGAACTTTTATGACCATTTAAAAAGCAGTCAGGAAAACAAACTACAAAAATCTGCTAAACAGTACGGACTTGTGCACTGCGCCTATGGTTTCATTTGAATATGGAGATACAGCACATCACTTGAGAACACAAGAAGGGTTCTTTTTGCTTCTGAGTATGTGCCATGCTAAATGCTCCTTATAAATGAAATAAATTTGTTCTCAAAAGATGAACAAAAGGAACTTCTGCAGTTAAAATAAGCAGACAATCTCATGTAACACAAGAGTTCTGTTAAAGGAAAAGAGAGGGAGAAACCAAAGCTAAATCACGTAAATACCAAATCTGTAAAGTACTATATGAAAACAGCTGCATTTAGTTTAAAACCTGAAGGATTTCACTCAGCTAACATCCAGCAACAACCTGAAACAACTGAAAAGCCAGGCAGACTATATTAAATGTGCTGGGTCAATTTTGTAAGATGGACTACAGAAATGCACTTTGAAATAAAGCTCTTGCCCTACCACCTACCTATATCTTGCCTTTTTCTGAGACAATATATGGGGGAAATTTGACTTTAAAAACCCCAAACTTATTTCACACATGAAACTCAAAGCCATAGAGACTCATGTATGGCCACTCAAATTGCCAGTTAAAGTCCAGAGGTAAATTCTGAATCACACAAACAGTTTTACTGCACAAACTGGACTATTTGAAGTAGGTAAAGGTACTTCCAGACACTTACTTGCAGAACTGAGATTTGATGAACAAATATTTCTACTGCTAAGATTTCAAATACTCAACAACTTCCTTTCCTAAGTATGAAACAGCAACATTAAGATTTAGGTCAGGTGTAAAGCTGCACTGCATGTGTGGCCTGCAACATTTATTCTACTGTCTTGGCTGGAATTGTTTCCTAATTTTAAGGCTTGTGGAAAAACACAGTAGTTAAAAGATTTCAAACCAGCAGCGTGGAGTACTGTCTCTAAAGTAAAAAGAATACGTATTGCAAAGATGTCCTGCTTTCTGGTGATGGATAAGAGACCACAAAGAGTCACTAAGAACAACAGATAAAGGCCGAGGCCCTTTGTTATCACCTTCTAGTGGTTTCACAATCTGAAGCTTTTCTGGCAGGTAGGAGCGAGTGCTGATAGACATTCCTGAATATCCAGTGAATTCGGAAAACCTCGAGTGAGTTCCCAGCGACATGATGCTCTCTGTGGGGGTAATGGAACCACTATGGAGTTCACCCTTTTCTGCCAGTTCCCGCAGCTTCCTTTCCTGCTCTTCTTCGAAGAACTTCCTCTCCGAGAGGTAATTCTCCCTCCTGAGGGACAGCCTACGAAGGGCAGTCTCTAGGTCACTGGAGCCTGGAGTCCCTGGAGTTCCAGGTTTCTTCATCCTGTCTTCATTTCTAAAAGGTAACAGGGGGCAAACACACACCCCCCCCAAAAAAAAGAGGAGGGGAGGGAGAGAAATAAATACTTTGAGATGCTTAAAACTTCCATATGACAATTTTGAGACATTCACCAATACCTTTAAATTACTATGTCTGGGAACTTGCTACTTGTCCAGAGAGCTGAAAGGCAAACACCAATAAATTCTCTCTTTCATACTAAACCCAGTTTGAATCCTAGCTCCTGCCTGGAAACTCCTGGTTGGAAAAGCTGCACTTTCACCTCTGTTGAGGAAGCTCTGAAGTAGAGATGTCTACTTGTTGTGTGTGTTATGGTTACACAAAATCAAGTAAGCAGGACGTATTTTACACGGCCAACACTGCAAGAATACCACTACAAGTCACATGAGTATATTATGCTGACATATATAAATGAACATATATGTTCATTATGTTCACACATATGAACAATATTCATTGTTTTGAGCTATTAGGTAGTTTTTACTGGAAAATACATGCAGCGTTGTTTGGAGCTGTACTGAGAGAAGGAACAAGTAGCTAAAGTGCAAAGTTCTGATTGGTTTCATTCACAAGTTGTCATATGTGGTAACCTATACATGCATACTATTTATCAATTTAATTTTAGGATCAAAAGAGTTAGCAGCAGCTGCAACTTAGATCAGAACTTGCTGGCATTAATGTAAAATGGTGCAAATCTAATTTGGTGTAAGTGTTGACCCACAGCTCCGAAGACAAAGGGTAGTTTTACATCATCTGGGGATGCTGCAGCTCAGAACAGGTACGAGCTGCAGACACTGATACACAGTACTTTCAAAAAGCTTTCCTTTCTAAATAAACTTGAGTGCTCAAGAACTATAAGCACAAAATAACTTCTGAAGATGTATGTCACTGTGTTAACTGCACACGTAAGACAAAAAGAGGAAAACAGAAACACTTTGCCTTTATGTTAGAAACAGTGCTACAGTACTGACCCGTTGTCAGAGGATTCCGTCTCTAAGATGATGCTATTGGTCTTGTTGTCTATTGTAATGTTAGAGATGTCTCCCCCATAGAAACTGGAACGTGGAGTGCTGACGCAGCTAGACATGACTGAGTTCATAGCAGAGGATTGGTTAGAGCCTGGGATATTCATTGGTGATGGAGTCATGGATCTCTGCTTGACAACTTGGTTGACATTTCTCACTGTCTCGAAGACGCGCTTCTGATGACTGTAAGACACAGACACAGTTAATGTTCACACAGTGCCTTCTTATCTTAAGAAGGAATAGAGGAACAGGTAACAGCTTGTTAATGACCCTTCCTATTCACACCTCCAACAGCTACCCTGTCTCTATAGCTTCTGTAAAGTAGTATGCACAAGGCTCCCGTCTGCTCATCACATTCAATCCATCAACAAAATACTTCCATTATCCTAGATTATTTTAGACAAAATATTTGAGAATTATGTGCATAATTCTCAAGTATGCTCAAATATTAACAAAAATTAAGTGAAAGGGCATTTCCGTACACCAGCTACAAACACCTTCAAGCCATTGCGTGAAAATAAGTTTTTAAACAACAAAATTGTTCTCCATTCAATTCTTAACTATGAACTGGCTAATCTATTTTAAAAGAGAACCTGAATTTACTCTACTGAGTACCTCTATGCTAGCAAGTCTTGTACCTTTCCTTTTTGAAACCAGTTTCCAACCCCCTTATAATAGGCCAGGAATCTACAGAGAGGCTGCCAAGGCTGGAAAACTAATTTCTGACCCACTTCTGCAGTTCATTCCTTATAACCGTTGTCCTGATATCGTGACAGTGTTCCTCTGCTTCAAGACTAAGATCAGATGACACTTCAGCAGAAATTGCTTGATAAAACAATCTTGCCCTACATCATGCTACAGAAGTGCCACTGCTGCTTTGTTTTACAATTCAACCGTTGCTGAGCACAAGAACAGCACACCCCTTCCAGCTTAGAGGTAATACTGCCAGGGTACCAACCAAGTACCAACCACTCTGAATCCCTTTCTGCACTGGCGTTCTCCCTACAAAAACTGGATCAGATCAATAATTACCTGGTAACTTCTGTTATAAAACCTGAAGAGAGAACCTGAGGAAATGAATGCATCCCCTAATCATTAACTGAAGAAACCACACAAGAAAACCAACCTTTTATCATTCTCAGCACACAAAAATGAGGAGAAAAACATAATAAGACAAAGCAAAACTCTCTCTATATATAATATACAGGCATTTTCTTTTGGTAGCTTTAGCAGAAAATATAACCACCCCAATAACCAGACAATTTATTTTGCTTTCTATCAATCACACTCTACCAGAAGGATTTCTTTCTAAATCCCTAGCTCAACTATTTCCTGCCTTTTCCTCTCTCAACAAATAATAATTATCTTCAGATATAATCAGTCAATAAGGAACCAGTTCTTTCCAGCCGTACGCAAAGTCAGGAGAGTCGGGTTCATCTAAATGCAGTTCTTTCCTCATTGACCCTTCTATCTCTGCTGCCAAAGAATCCTGTTAAAAACAAGCACAAAAGAGAAACAAACATCAGAGTATTCATAGGTTGTCATTGCAGAAAATAATAAATTACTTATAAAAATAATTAGCAACTAATAAGGTATCATTGCTGAAAAAAAAGCAACATTTAAAAATGAAAATCGACTGGAAAGCTGGAAACTAATGGGTGTATCTAAATCACTGGGAAATTGCAGCTTATCTTCACACTGCTACAGCAGTTACCGTCCAAAACCATCTAACATTGTCAAAAACCCTAAAAACACATCACAGCAACAACAGAATTCAGATGCCCCAACTTCCCACCCTGAATTCCCTACTCAGCAACATCCATCTTGCATGTATAAAGTTTTGCTGAATTAGTTTTCATTTCAATTAAACAGAAAATAGTTTTCCCTTTCACAACATTATCCATCCAACCCACAAAAAAGACGATGTTCTTAGCATAAAGCATTCCATACTTCCCCCAAAAGGGTTAAAGGTGACAGGCTATCTATTTTTGCTACTGATCAGTATGTTTTACTGCCTAAATGTAGTCAAGTGCAAGATTTAAGTGACAAATATTCACAAATCTAAACCATCTTTGATGCCATGATTCAGTATTTGAAAAGAATTTTTATACAAAAAACCACAAACCTATCTCAGAACAAGCAAACCTTTTACTGCTTTCAACTGTATTTGTGCAAGTGCTACTTGCATTATTAAATGTCTGTACTTCAACCTGGCCTGTGCTCAGCCTCAGAAGGGAACACAAAAAGCAAGCTCACCCTTCGCTGACAATTCAGTTCTTGTGAGCACAAATCTAATCTGTGCTGCTCCTCAGCAGTAAGATGAGACATGGCTAAAGACCACGAGTGCCAGCTTCTACTGCTTGATTACATTAATGTAACTCAAAAGAAGCTTCACTGATGTCAGTACTCTCAGAAGTAAAGAAATTATTGTAGAGATACACAGGCAAGCAGAGCCAGGCACTGAGCTTACCTACACATTCTTATTCACTCTTTTTTGTTCCTTTGTTTGAGGGCACTGCATATTCCCCATGCTTTTAATGTCACTGGGATGTCATAATGTCATAATCAAGTGAAACCAGGTGAACCAAGTTGGTAACACCAGTCACACTGCTGTAACTGATGTTGCTACAATACATATTAGCAACTAATATTCTTTTAATGAATTTATAGTGACCCTAAATCAAGAATATATGTGCAACCTATTCAAGTATTTAAGAACTAGAATGTGTATCATAAGTGACTAGAAGAAGGCCAGGTTTTTTCTTTAGATGTGCTTACCATAGGGAAGAGACCGAGAGAGTGGTACCGACGTGATACAGCGTTTGGCATGGTCTTGTTCCTAAGGTTTTTCAGCTCTTCTTGAGCCTCATGAAGCATTTCCATGCACTCTGCATACTTGTCTTCCAGCTCTCGCAACTGTAATGCATACAAATCAGTCCAAGACCTTATGGGCTGCACTGTCATCAGAAAAAGCCTGCAAATTCTTTTGACACTGGTAAAAGATAGTAATGGTGGAGGGAACAATACTCCACTTCAAAAGAAGAGAACTCCAACAAGTGAATACCACTGAAAATCATTAATGGAAAGGGCAGGGGAGGGGGGAATGCACACACATGATGACACATGACCATGCTGCAGGAAGGAACTGCTTGCTCCATTTCCTACCCTAAGTATCTACATGAAGCCACTGCCAAGAAGACACAGAGCTGAAAGCATCCTTAGTCTGATCAGGTATAGTACCTAATTGCTGCCATGACCACCACAGTGGCAAACAGCATGGGAAAGGACAAGACATTACACATTGATCCAAACAGCTTGGGAATTTTAAAACCAAGACAAACTTATATATATACATATATATGTACACAACCTAAGACTATGCCTTAATTTTAGCTTAACTTTCTCAGGAAACACATCTTAAGGAATCACTCTGTCTTCAGATGTCTGTGTCCCCTCATAGGTTTTGAGTTCATCAGCCATTTCAACCAAGTCTGGCAAAGGGGCAGAAGCCTGAAATACCACATTTCCACAAGTTTCTTAAAAATAAGCTACTTGGCTTGGAAACAGAGATCCTGTTAATGTCCTTCCTAAGAAGGGGATGGAGAATCATGAGCTCAATCTTTGTAGAGCACCACAGATACAAAAGGCCCATCAGCAGAAAAAGCTTCTATGGGCATTTCCACCTGCAACACCAAGTAGTCCAAGTAGAAGACACTTCCTAAAGGGATCAAGCTTTATTCGTTCTATTTTTGTCCATTTTGTTCATGTGAATATAGCACCCAGAAAACAGCCAGCAATTCTGGACCACCTTTAGCTTATTAACTGAACAAATACAGTATGAATGAGCTCATTCATGATATCTCACTTCAACATAGGCGTAAACTACAGGCCTAGAGAAGTCAGCCTCTAGAGCGGTTCCTATGTAGCCCACAAGCCCCCAATTATCAAACATCAACTGAAGCAGAGAACAGGAAGGAAAAAGTTTTGAACTCTACCAGGAACATAAATGTTCCTTCATTCCATATACAGAGGCAAAATAATTTAATACTTCTCATCCAGCTTAGACTAAAACTCTTGCACTAAAGTGAACAGCCACTGCCCTACTGCTAAATTACTGTAATAGTAAGTAATGCACTCACCTCTGCTGTGAGCTGTCTCTGGGCATCTTTAGCAGCTCCCAAATGCTGGACAAGTTCCTCATTTTCAACTGCACACTATGCCAAAAAATGGTAGAAACACTGTGATGTTTTGTCCTGTGATCACGTTTGTATTCTATACTACAGGTTAAGTAGGAAAAGTAAGGTAGCTTAGGTAGGAAAATTCTAACTTGTCTTAAGACCACCCCTGCAGCTGTATTAGTCCACACGTTAGTTTAAAAACATTTAAAATGTTAGCAGGAGAACATGCAGCAGTCTGTGCCCTGCTAAATGAACCTCAAATGAATCCAAAACAAACAAGGATGCGCCCACTGAAATACATGCACTAATGTTCTTATCTTACCAAAGTCATTAAGTTCAGTGCAGGATCACACATCTAACATTTAAAATACATTTAACAATTTTATTTGATATATCATATATGAATCTTAATGAACTGATGCTTTCCTAGTCAAGTATGCTAGATATTAAACACCAAACAAAGTCACCCAGATAAGGAGGGTGGAAAATTTCCTTTAGGCTCTAGTATACAGAGGATAGTAAACTGTCTTTCAGCTACGACAGCAGCAAATCACAGCAGTAGTCTTGCAACTGGATTCCTTACAGCTTTTGCCTTTTTCTGCAGATCGACTATCTGAGAGAGAAGGTGGGTGATTTCTTCTTGCTGCCGAGCAGCATCTTCTGTTTTCTTTGCTAACTCTTCGGAGATATTGGCAATCTGGATGTTTGCATCTCCTTTAAGACAAGTGATTACAGTTAACATCACAAAAGCAGAAAAGTAAGCAGAAAGATGTTCTTTGGAACGTCCCACCATTCAGCAGAATCCTGCCCCAGTACACAGCAAGGTATACTTGAAAGACAACAAGTAGGACATGAAAACAGAAAGACATGAAGTGCTCATGCTGCAAAGGAGATCATACTTTCAATTAACACTATCAGTGCAAAACTATTTTGCAACTGCAAAAGATATAGCTTACAATCAGGATTTTCTGCTGTGAAATTTCAGCCAAAAACTTCCTCCTTGCCTTTATATAAGGAAAATAAGTACCACAGCAAAACCATGACTGACTGATCCGACTCGTGGTTTCCTTTTTGGTTGGTGTGTCCCGTTCCCCCCCCCTTTTTAACCCTGATCTCAAATGAGAAGTGAAAAGAAACAAGGACATACTTAGCTCTTTCACACAGTCATTGACAAGCTGTTGTTCTTTCTCTTCATAAGTGATTGTTTCAGTCTTCAGCTGACAAGCCTATTCAAGAAAGCCACATCAAATATGTGACACTAGCACGTTTGTTGGTTGCCAGTCTGCTGCTGCATTTCCATCTACTTCAGAAATACAAACTTGTCTGATTACTCCTCCAGGAAGACAGTGAGAAACTGCAGGTTTTGCCTGACTGCCCTCCCTCATGTTCTGGAACAAGGGGCCAGGTGAACATTCAAGTAGAGACATTACTGTATGGAAAATCCTGCCTCATTACCATCATACCCCACTAGATGTCACTTGTGCATTTTGTACTAAAAACGAAACACCTGAACGTACCAAAAAGTTGTATGCAGGGCTTGATCTGGTCACCTGAACACAGCTAGGTGGCATCACAAACTATTCAAATACTTGGTTTAAATAACTAAATTAAACACACAGGTATTTAAAAATAACTCAGTATTTGAGAAGTTCTGGCACTGTAACCATCTATCCCACATAAAACCTTAGTGCTGCCTCCCTCCCTGGGTTGTCTTTTCTGCTCCAACTCTAGGAGTGCCAAGAGGAGTATGGCTGCACCCAGCTGGTTCTGTCTGGCACCACCTCAGTAGGACTATAATCTATTCCCATTGCTAAGGGCATGCACAGACACCCCCAGGCTGCATCTGTAGAGGACTGTGTAGCTCAGAGGGTTCAGATTTGGCTTCATCCTGTGCTTTACTGGCACAGATTGCATCTCCCTGGAGTAGAAGCAAGAGCTATGTGGGCTTCTAATATCGGCTCCTGATGCAGCAGCTCTCTCAGTTCTAACTCTGCCTTCATTATTCTTCTGATACCTCCATATTTCTTTTGCTGCAGACTCCTACATGTTTGCAAAATGGTAACGTGCTCCCAAAGCTTAAAAGTTGCATTGAAAATAAGATTATTCGTAAAGTGTTCAATTATGAAATGTTATTTCTGACAGTGGACAGGAAATCAGCTTTTAAAAACTGTGTTGTCTGTGAAACAAGAGTTATTATCAGAAATAAAAGGCAAGAAAACCACATTCAACTTCAAATATTAACAACAGCCTTGAAACACAAATTGAAGCTATTTAATGCAAATTTCAGCTAGCAATTTTTACTTTGCCAAACACTGGATTTGTACCAGAGAGACCATGCCAGCCTGCCAACTTCAGATCTGCAGCTAAAGTCACCCGTATCTATCAGGTCAGCTCTTTAAGACCTGTTTCAAAGTGCAGTGCTGGACTCCAAAACCTAACATGCTCCTGCATGCTCCTTTTGGCAAGGAAACTGCTCTGCATGTAGCTTCATGTAGCTTCCATGCTTCAACCCTTCCTTCATTTAGACAGATAAAGGACAGTGACTAAACAACTACAAAGAGATCTGTCACATGTGGAATGACACATTCTTAGACTCTCAACTTTTAATCCACACTTCTTAGTACCTGTGTTCAGACATTTAAATTAACAAGTGTATTAAGCAAAACACAAAGGGAGTAATTTCACCTCAGATCTAAGCACAACATTCTCCTCTTCAAGGTCCTTGAGTTTCTTTTGAAGAGAATCCAAATGAAAGTAGTTCTGGACGGAGGAGGAAGATTCATTCCTCTTCAGCCTTGTAATGAAAACAACAGTTTTAACTCCTTTTAACCTGCATTAAGGCCAATCCCACAGAAGAACACACTTAACAAAGGCCTCAAACCGAGCCAGAGCCACATGAAATGCAGCTTATTCATGCCAGGATGTTTAGGCATCCATGTATTTGCAGTGATTTTTAAAAGGGAATGTTTTTAACATTTATTTACTATTCCACATATTTCCTATGGAAAAGTTACTCAGCCAGGGCTATGAGAAGGGAAACCACCTTACCACAGGGAGCAACCCAATAGCTTCCTGATAAATGCTGCACATGCTTCACCAGATTGCAGCAATAACTCTGCAAGCGAGGGCAGAGAGTCTTTCAAAGCCTGTGATGCTATTCAGCCAGCTAATTGCCTGGAACCCAAGCTTTAAGCTATGCTTTATATCCCCTTCCCTCTGCTAGCAATATTTCCATGGTGCCTTCAGGCCCTTCAAGCACAAAGGTCACGCACGTAGAACGTTCTAGCACAGAGTGCAAAGGTATGTGGCGTAACATACCTTTGGGACCTGTCTGCCTCACCACCACAATGACCTAGTTCCTGTGGAAGTTACAGTGCTGTGTCAGCAGCCTCCCTGTGTACTCTCCCCTTCCAACTTGTGTTGGCACCTGGAGAGCCAGCTGGTCCCATGCAAATCCCTCCAGCTGGTGCCATACACCAAGTCCACAGTCCCATGTTTCATTCTAGCTGATACAGGGATCATTTGACTGTTTTTCAAAGCTATTAAGCTGTCCAAATGGCCCATGCTCATTGCCAGGGAAAGGTTCAACACTGTAGATTAGTTAACTTACGGGGTGGAACAGACGGACTCTGGCTCGCTTTCTTCAGCAGCACTGGTGTAGAACTGGAGCAGTTCATCCTTCATGCAGAGCTCATGCCGCAACTGAGAAACCTGCAGGAAGAAAGAGCTTGCAGATCAGTAAATGGATTTTCTAGGCACATTCTTAACTAAACCCCCTACGAACTAGCTAGCTATTCCTCCTCCAAGCATCATAATCAAGAGGCCAAGACTGGAACAGACCAGAAACAACTCCTTGATTTCTTTGAAAGAAGGAAAAATGCACCTTTGAAATTAGCCATTGAATGTCCTTTTTTTTGGAAGTTCAAAAGAACATAATTATCCTTTGCAGTTAGGCATGCTTCTCTTTTACCTCCTTTACAATGAGCAAACCTGATTCACTACTGCATTAGTCTAGGTTCATATCCACAGAAACAGATATGTTGTGATGATACTGCAAGAAACTAATGTGGCACAATCAACCCATTTTATGTGATGACTGTCACCTTCTGGCTTGGTTACAGACCTTGCAGACCTCAGATATAGACATTTCTTCCTCTCCAAGAGACTTTAGACAAAATTACTGAAATGTTTTTTAGTAACGCTACATTTGGTATTCAATTGCCTGCTGGGCGGCAGAACATCACTACACAGGGGCAGGCTGGCATTCTGAGGCTGCTGCAAGGCTTGAGGCTGAAGTCAGTTTCCAGGTGTAGTTATGGCTGTGAACGATTCCAAAACATGAGTCTAGCAAAGTAAAATCACAGAAGGGTTTGTGCTGGAAGAGACCCTAAAGGTCATCCAGTTCCAGGCCCCTGCCATGGGCAGGGACACCTTCCACTAGAGCCGCTGTGTCCAACCTGGCCTTGAACACTGCCAGGGATGGGGCAGCCACAGCTTCCCTGGGCACTCTGTGCCAGCGCCTCAGCACACTCACAGGGGAGGGCTTCTGCCTAAGAGCTCATCTCAGTCTCCCCTCTGGCAGGTTCAAGCCATTCCCCCTGTCCTGTCCCAACAGGCCCTTGTCCAAAGCCCCTCTCCAGGTTTCTTGTAGCCCCTTTAGCCATTGGAAGCTGCTCTAAGGTCTACCCGGAGCCTTCTCCTCTCCAGGCTGAAAAAGCCTTGCTGTCTCTGCCTGTCTTCCAAGTAGCATGTGTGAGTCCCATACTTACTACAGGCATGTATCAAAAAGGCACAAACCACCAAAACTGGGCAGTTAAGATACCCTGTAATTGTAAGCTCTGCAAACATAAATCTTGGTTCATTTATATTGCAGTTCTCCAAGGGTTAAGAGCCAAATTACACAGTAGCACATACAGCCACTTCACAGCTGCAATTTAAGGCTGCAGTGGCAAGAGATTAATTTTTATTTGCCTTGCCTAGCTATAAATAGCAGAACTGATCAGATAGATTCCCTTCCACTTGCACTGCAAGACTTGCGCCTCAGTTTTTGCTTCCCAGCACACAAACTGCAGAGTACATTTGGCTTTATTAGACTTCTGTGTTTTTCTGAATTGAAGGCATATTTATATATAACTTGTAGTTATTACTGGAAAAAAACAACCCAACAAACAAAATATCAATAAAATAGATTCAAGCTGCATTTTCATCAGACAGAAAGCAGACTCAATGCAATAAAGCACTTCAACTGTGCAGAAATTTAAGCAAACAAGGTCATTTACTTTCCTAAGGGTAATTCTGCACAATCGGACGTGCTAAGGCACCAAGTCCATCTGACACATGGGTTCTAAAATGTAAGGGGAAAAAAAAAAATCCCAATCAACCATATTCTAGAAAACTACGAAACAAAATCCAGGCGTTAATTCTGGGAAGTTCACTTTCCCCATTGCGGGAAGGGCTAAAATGCTGAGCTAAAAATAACAACTTACTTCTCTCCAGCACATTACGGCTCAGCCTATGTAAGTAGCAAGGATTCAGATACTGTCAGTGGGTGGGCATTAGATACCTCCAGCTTTTGCTACACTTTATGAATTAAAAAGATTGAGGATACTACTATTGAGGATACTATACAAAAGATTGAGGATACTCAAAAAGATTGAGGATACAAAAGATTGAGGATACTATTTACAGAGCATTCTGAAGGAGGATTAACAGCCAGAAAGGATGACCTTTTAATGCAAAAGGACCAAAAGCGATGGTGTCCTGGGTTCAGCAGTAGCAGTCATTTTTCTCCTTCTTAGTAGCTGGTGCAGTGCTGTGGTTTTGACTTTCAGCCTGGGAACAGGGCTGATAACACCGATGGTTTTGTTGTGGCTCAGTAATGCTTACCCTGTTCTCAGTCTCATGCTCTGCCAGTGAGGAGGGGCACGAGAAGCCGGGAGGAAGCAGAGCCAGGACCCCTGACCCAAACTAACCAAAGGGGTATTCCATACCACAGCACGTCATGCCCAGTATAGAAACTGGGGGGGAGTTACTCAGAAGGCCCAGATCACTGCTCCGGTCGGGCCGGGTATCGGTTGGTGGGTGGTGAGCGGTTGTATTCTCTCCCCTTGTTATTTCCCTTACCATTATTATTACTGGTGGTAGCAGCAGTGGTTTGTGTTATACCTTAGTTACTGGACTGCTCTTATCTCAGCCTGTGGGAGTTACATTCTTTCCATTCTCCTCCCCATCCCTCTGGGAGCAGGGTGGGGAAAAGGGGGGCAGTGAGCGAGTGGCTATGCAGTTCCAAGTTACCAGCTGGGCCTAAGCCACAGCAAATGGGCACAAACTGAAACACAGGAGGTTCCTCCTAAGTATCAGGTAAACCTTCCTTATTTCGAGGGTGACCAAGCACTGGCACAGGTGCCACAGGTTGTGGAGTTTTCATCCCTGGAGTTACTCAAACTCTGCCTGGATATGGTCCTGGGCAACCAGCTGTAGGTGGCCCTGCTTGAGCAGGAGGGTCGGTCCGGATAACCTCCAGAAGTCACTTCCAACATCAACCATGCTGTGAAATTTCCCCCCTGCCCCAACCAACAAAACCTTGCAGTAACCTCCAGCAACACAATCCTCTAACATAGCACTTTGTGGTGTTTGACCCCGATCAGCAACTAAACACCCCACAGTTGAGCAGGTATTCTGCTCCACAATCCCCATAGGATGGAGGACAGAATCAGCAGCACAAAAGCAAGAAAAACTCATGGGCTGAGATAAAGGCAGTTTAAAATGCAAAGCAAAGTAAGGAATTGATTCACAGTTTTCTATCAGCAGGCAGATGTTCAGGCACCTCCTGGAAAGCTGGGCCTTGGCACAATGCATTGTTACTTGTTAATGCCGTAATTGTGAATGTCCCAGCTTTTTCCTTCTTTCCCTCCTATCCAAAGGGATATTCTATACCCTGTGCTCAGCTGTGATCAGCTGAGCTGTGCCCCCTGACAACATCTTGCACAGAAATAGCTATACCTATCTTAGAGAGACTTTAAGGAAGAAAAGCATCCTCCCACAGAGCACAGTAGTTTAGAGACATGGGATCTAGCTCACAAGAACAATCCTTATCAAATCACCAACCCATTTCAAGAGTCCAGATGACTGTTTTCCTGACTGACAGCAGGTAAATGCTTGAAAGTGTTCACGTAAAACGAAGACACCCAGTTACACAGTATGTAAATAACACACATACAAGTGCCAAGCCAAAGAGCATTTCTCTTTCCAACGTTACCTTCTACTCTAATAGACCAAACACAATGTTCTCTTTTTTAAGCCACCATTCCAGACTCTAACTCAGCTTTTCCTCTTCTCCCACTTTACAGAGAACAAAACCAAACCTCGGCTTTAAAATCAGCTATCACCAAAACACAAACTCTGGTATGTGACTTAGAACTAGAATGACAGGCACAGAGGCCTGTATTACCCAGGTGTTACAACAGGTTTGAGGTGGTGTTATTTGGGGATTGACACTGTGTTTGAAGTGCTTTTTAGCTTCAGAAACACATGAGAGTCTGCAGAAGAAAAAGAAGCATAACCTGGGAAATTTAGAAAGATGAGAAACTAAAACCTTACTGACCTACTGCATTCCAAACACAGTTCACACTCTGACAGTTTACACTGCTTTGATACTGAGCTCTAATCCCAAAGGAGACATTAAACCTTAGGTAGCACCATCCCAGCAGAGGGACAGCTTGAGACTGGAGCTGCAGCATTCTTACTGAACATTATAACCCAGTAGCAAGTAGGCACCCTGTACCTGGCAACTACACTTGTGCTGCTGAAAAGGCAGACAATCATCTCTGTAACCAAGATTTACTATTAAGAAAGTTTTCTCAATACAATGCTTATGCTTTTAATGTATAGTTCTGAAACAGTAAGCAGAGACTAAAGCATGCACAGAGTGCACTGACCTTCTGTTCTCTAGTGCACTGCAGGAAAAGTCTCAGTTCCATCAGTTTTTACTGAAAACAACCACAGCTCCTTCCTAAACCTAAGCTGCACCCAACAATAAAACCCAACAGATAAAGTCAAGAATCTAATGCATTTTGTCCAGGTTTATGTTACTTTGACACAGGTACAGTTGGGTGGAGAAGGGATTCAAAGCAGCCCTGCGGAGAAGGACTTTGGGGTTTGGTTGATGAGAAACCAAACACGAGCCTTGCAGGGGAACAAGGACAAAACAAGTAGAAGAAAACAGTGGGTATAGTGACTCAAGAAAAAGAGCAGCTGCTTTCAGAGGACAATGAAGTCTGAGGCAGACCAGAATTCAATGGCTTGAGTTTTGTTTGCTGTTTTTTTTCCCCTCAGATCACCTGATTTGAGCCAACAGGTCAAGCAACTTTTTTGATCACAGTTCTAGAAGCGTACACACTGTAAGGGTGGCTGGCCAAACTGCTGTAACACAGCTTGACTTGCTATGGACAGGATGCTCATGAAAATTAAGCATGGATAAAGTGAAGCTAAAAGGAAAATCCCCTCCATCACTGAAGACAGAGCCCCCAGACATAAAAATCTTACCTCTTCCCTGATGTGTTCTACTTGCTCCTCCAGGAATTCATTTCTTTCTGTCAGTGATTTATTCTTCTTTAACAGTGACTGGCCAATCCGAGCAGCTAATTCTAAGTCCCGTTCTTTCTGTGAAGTATTAAGAAAAGAAAGGCCATTTCAATGTAGGGAGGGTAAAATTGTCATAAAAGGCGAGGAACAAGTTCATGAACAATAAAAAGACTTCTTGCTTCTGTGAGGGTTTATTTGTTTGGTTTCCTGACAGTTTTTTCCCCTATTTCTGTCTGTGTTACACCCACATTATCCAGAAAAGACTGACTGGTACAGAGTCACCGAACCATAAACATGAAAGCACAGCCCCGAGATGTACAGTAAAACAATGTAAGTGAAACTAGATCTGGTTTTGTTTGAGAAACTACTGATGGAAACTCTTCCATCGCCTTGCTGCACCATTGGCATAATGAATCACAGAGCTTCAGAGGTTATGTTTTAAAGAACTCAGCAGCACAGTAAGAACACCAAAGAACGCCAGCATTTCAAAGCATTCCTCAGTTTCCACTTGCTCCACCTTAAAATAGAAGGCAGAAAGGTGTGCAGGAGCAGAAGCCAATTCCACCACAAGGAAGGTTCAGCTTCCAGCTTCCTTGCGTACATCCATCCATCAGTGCTTTCATATAAAATCAAATTCTATCACTTTCCTTTTTGCAGATGCCCAAATCTACATGAGCTGTTCACTCTCATGCCATGCTTGGCTCCTTCTTCCCCTTCCTCCATGAGCGCAGAATTGGAACTAACCCATCAACACAGCTCACCACATATACCAATAAAAACTAGAAACTTACCCTGTTGATGCCATGTACCTACACGTGTCTCAGCTTCTGCAAAGCTGACACATGCGCTGGGAGAGGATGAGAAACTGTACAAAACTATGCCATTTATTAAGCATTTCTATTTGTAATTGCCACATTCCACTACTAGATATTTAAAATAGCACTACTTAAGGAAGAGTTTTCTCCCTGTCATTGCAAATACTACTTGGAGCTTATTTATTGCCCAGATGTCCTTAGAGATTTTATGACTAAAGGCTACCTTATGTCATGTATATATTAATGACAAAGCCCACAGCTACAGATCACATGGATTTGAAGTCAACGAACTGGAATAGAGAGGCTTTCATAGTGGAAAAAAAAAGGAAGGTACCTAATAATCAGTAAATAAAATGACAGGCTATCGATCACTGCTGTATCTATAAATAGCATTTTCCAAATGGTTTCTGAAGCCAGACTTACCTTTGCCATTGAAAGCTACTGGTATTATCCAGCTATAAAAATCTTACGTGCAATCTTTCAGAACAATAGGTGCCACACAGTTACCAAAAAAAGAAAGCTTGGTTTACCTATCAGCCAACTTATTGTGCAGTAATTTGGCTCTTTGTAAATATGAAGTGGAAAAAAATACATTGTTGAGTCTACAGAGAAAGAGCTATCCAGCAGCAAGGTTTCCAAACTCAAATTTAAGAGCATTAAGTGATTTCCAGGCTCTTTAATTAACCTCCCTAGACTTCCTACACAGTTTTCTTAGCAATTCAGCTCTAAATCTCAGTTTGGGGTCAGGCCTCTTACAGTGATAACAAACTGGTTTATTACAGCAATGTGTAAAAAGCAATACTGAAGGCAGACACATTAACACTGTTATTAGGAAAGGATGAAATGGAGGTTCATGGAGGAATCTGCTGCTATTCTTACCACGTAAGCAGCATCTGTCCCCTCCCTGGCTTAGTTTCAGGGCAAGAGGCACGGATTTTCAAAGTATCTGCACACCTCTTGTTTTGAGATCTTCTCTTTCCTATCTTCCCCCCCCAGAATGCTGCACCTTTTACCCTGCCAACGTTGTGATACAATCGTTTGAACTTGCCAACAAGGAAGACAGACAAGATGTAGCTTTGGGTTTTTTTTTCCTCATTTATGAAGGGAGCAGATGGAGGTACACCTTAAATTCTGCTAATGGATGTAATTCCAGCATTTGGAAAACAGAGAAAGCAGCTGTAAGCGCATGTCTGGCTAGGAACAGAGTGATTCAGTCAAAGATGACTAATAAAACAAATAAGAAGTATTTATCAAAGTTTCACCTATTACACACTCGCCCTTTTTTCCTTTGCTATCATCCAGATAGGGAGGCACACCAGAAGTTTTCAAACACTGGCTCAGAAAGTCCTTCTAGCATTGCTCCCCCAAGTGTGATTGCTGGATCTATAGATGTTTGGCTACATGGACTCAGTGGAAGAAGCAGTTTGGCAGAATGCTGCACCATTACTAGAAGGAGCCATGGAAACACATGCAAGTAAATCTCAGCCAAACAACACAAAGGGAACAGGACACAGACAGGTAACAGACTGCTACTACATGTTTATGGATTATTCCAGGATAAGCCTTTTGGGTAAGCAATCAGTTTTAACTGATATTTCACAGAGTTGTTTTAAGATTTTAGCTCAAAGCACAAAATGCAGGACTCCGTACTGCAATCAGATGTATGAAGCATAGGTAGGAGACGTGAGCATTCCCATACTTGTTTCCTTGCAGGATTAAAGAACAGACCATCCAATATATCTTGGCAAGACAAACACCCTTTCTGATAATGCTATTGCAATGAGCAAGCAAATAAACATGATGGATTAAATTAAATTTAGCCATGAATTACATTTCATCCCTGGCAATGCTGCTCAAGGCCAGGCTGGATGGGGCTCAGAGCAACCTGGGCTAGTGGAAGGTATCCCTGCCTGTGGCAGGGGGTTGGAACTGGATGAGCTTTAAGGTCCCTTCCAACACAAACCAGTCTGGGATCCTATGAACCAATAAAACTGTAACAATTTTCACTTAAAAAATTCTTCATAAACATTATTTGGAAAAATTATTGCTCAGGTTTACTGCAGAAAAGCAGTTAATTTCAGTCAAACAATTTATCGTTATATTTACTGAACATAAGCATCATAGCTTGACAGTTGCTTTCTGACATTGCCTGAGTGCCAATGATTAAAGAATAACAATTTACCTAATACTGATATTAAAAAAAAACCCCATCCCAAATCTACCAAACACAAGGCAAAGAAGAAAAGGCTTGGAAACCAATGGGGTATGAGGTATTTTCTGATTTTGTGTCCAGGCACTTCTCTGGAAAGGCATTATCTGAGATAATAAACACAAGACTACCTGTGAAGCAATCACAGAATCAACCAGGCTGCAAAAGACCTTTAAGATCAAGTCCAATCATTCCCCAGCACTGCCAAGGTCACAGTTTGTGAACACTTCTGGGTATGGTGATTCCATCATTGCCCATAATACTATTAGCTTTATGTGCACCACACAAATATGTGACGTGTTAAGATGATCCCCTCGCTCCTCTTCCTTTATGACAAGTATTTGGCCAAGAGCAAGTTAAATGGCCTCAAGAGGGAAAAATAAGCACAAGTAACGAGTCCATATGACTGAGGTCAAAAATGACCATTACTTAGAAAGAACCTTTCCTTTACTGATGAGATACTGTATGTACACCTAGAGCACTTATTCCTCGTCACTGGAGGACAGTCTACCAACAGTCTTTAGCAGTGGTATCATGTCATTTCTGTCCTACTTTCTCATAATGTGAATGGGTCTTTCAAGAGATTCAATACTTACCTCTTCAAGAAGACGTGTGACAGCATCTATATCATTGTATGTTTTAGTCATCTGGCCCACTCTTTCAGCGCATAAAACTGTGAGGAGAGAAAATAAAACATTCATCATAATGACAACACTTTTAGGGGGAAAATATCCCTGTAACATCCCTTTGGGTTTGCTAAGTTTTCATCTTAAAACTACTTACGTCAACTCTTGGGTAAGTGTATCAAAAGCAATAGAAAAAAACCCAACCTACCCTCAAAAACTAATCAAAGCCTCAAGTTAAAGAGAGTTTAACTCTTCTCTTTTGCAATGAGCTTTTGTCAGTGACAGAGCAAGCTTAAAATGGTAAAACTTTCTTCTCTGAAGAGGAAAGCCTTGAGTTTATAACAAGTGAAACCAGGTATTAAGGCACGATTGGATTCTATCATGTCACCTACTCATTGTATTACGTGCAGTAGAATTACTTGATAAAAAGACAGCTCCAATAAAGATACTGGGTTGTTAAGATGATAAGAAATGGGTTCTGTGATATGAGACTGCAAAGTAAACACAAAATGCATGCAGAATAATAAATGGTTCTTATAATACCCAGACCACACCACAGTGGCTGTAGTGTCCCTAATAAACATATTTAGGCTGGATGAGATGATCAATCACTAAGAGGGAGCCAGTTTTGTTAGACTGCAGAAAGTATGCAGAAGTTCAGTCTACCACCATCGGTGATCCTTTAAGAAGCTACACTGTCGTATCTAAAAGTCTGCAAGTTGTCTAAAAATCCACCAATATCCAGAGGAAACAACAGCACTTGCTGCTCTGCCCTCACATTCACTTTATTTTCAGCTATACCTGTTCCTCAAACCCGGTAATTCTGGGGAAAAGGGACTGTTAATGAAGTTCAGTTGATCATATGGACAAGAGGTAATCAGGCTGCTGTAACACTAATTGTTCTTCAGGGGATTTACCTTGACAATGTCAGCTAAAGCTCACTTAGACAAATGAGCTCATGCTGCTCTAGTGTGCATTAAGGCCAGGAGAGACAGATAAGGCCTAACAAGATTTAACTGGGGGTTGAAGGGGGAGTGTGTTGCGTACAGTGACATTATGAGAAGACCGTCTGTCACACCAAGGAAACAACACTGCCCAATTTATAAATGTACAATTTATGCCCAATATATAAAGATACAATAAATATTTATAAATAGTTGATCACAACGTAAAGGACATCAATAATCGATCAAACGCAACAGTACTTAGCTGGTGAAATGTTGGAGGGTTCTTTCCCGTACATAAATACCAGATTGTTGCTTAAACTACAGCAAGAAGTACAGTCTGCTTCTATTTATTTTCCCCTTTCTGAAATTCTATTTTTGAGGATTAGATCCTAAGAACATTTACAGTATTTAGTGCCATAAATAGTGCCAGTGAACTCTAAAGCATGCCGTTAAATGTATGCAAGAGATAATTCCACTTATCCAAATAATTAAGCCTGAAAGTGGCAAGGGTAAAGGGTTTACACGTCAAAGTAGCAATCTGCAGTATATCACATTACACAGCCATATAAAGAACAACTATACCACTGCACAAACAAAAATACAGCGCATCTGTACTACAAGCTGTATTACTCTAAAGCGATCAGGATCCACAGAAAACTAAAGTAGCTGGCAGAGAACACAAACTGTAATAAACAAAGGGGTTAAACAGAAGCTTTCCATAAGCACTTCACATCAAGATGGATGGTGTCGCATCCAGCCGACTATTGACAATGAGAAAATTAACATCACCATAAACCCCTTGTTAAACATCACAAGTTCATAAGTCATGCCATAAAATACTTATCAGAAACCCTGACAACAGCAGGTTATTTTCCAAAACAACTGTCCACTAAATGGTTCCCTTAGTTACTACATTCCATCACTACTATAAAATAATGCTTGAGATTGTCGTTAGCAATCTCATTTTAACTCTGTATCTAGCGCTAGCAGTCGCTACTAATTGTGACTGTGGCAATCTCACACCACCCCAATTCAGGTGAATGTATAACCTTCATAACATAAGAGCTGATAAAAGGACAGTGCTTCCACAGAAAGAAGAAAGTCACTCCACTGGGAGAGTGATGATAAAGGTTGATTTGTATGGCCACTCACCTGGCTATTCCTTCAGAACTCGCCCTTTCATCTTTAACTCTGCAGGGTAATACCACTGCTTTATCACAACGGATGTATAAATAGCAAAGCAATAGCAACCTGGTCACCAACAGCTTTTATATCTCAAAAGTTCCATCAAATTCCTGTTGATCATTGCTAAAATGGAGTTCTCCATGTAGTACTCTGCCACGGTGTAAGGGTTTCAAAGGAGAAATCCCAGAATCCTCCAGGTTGGAAGGGCCCTCTATAGATCATCCACTCCAAACCCCTGCCAAGGCAAGGGCACCCAGAGCAGGTCACACAAGAAGGTGTCCAGGAGGGTTTGGGATGTCTCCAGAGAGGGAGACTCCACAACCTCCCTGTGCAGCCTGTTCAGTGCTCTGACACCCTCAGTGCAAAGAAGTTCTTCCTCATGTTGACGTGAAACCTGTGTGTTTCAGTTTATGGCCATCGCTCCCCGTCCTGTCGCTGGGTACCACTGGAAAGAGTCTGGTGCCATCCTCCTGGTACCCACTTTTGAGATGTTTATATGCATTGACGAGATCCCCTCTCAGTCTGCTCTTCCCTGGACTAACCAGGCCCAGCTCCCGCAATCTCTCTTCATAAGAGAGATGCTCCAGACCCCTGATCATCCTTGTGGTCTCTCCTGGACCCTCTCCAGTAGCTCCTCGTCTGTCTTGTGCTGAGAAGCCCAGAACTGCCCACAGTGCTCTGGATGGGGCCTCATTAGGGCAGGGCAGAGGAGGAGGATCACCTCCCTGGACCTGCTGCCACACTCCTCCCGATGCACCCCAGGGGTGTTCCTGTCCCTCCTGACCCAAGGGCACAAACTGCCAGCTCATGGTCAACTCATCATCCACCAACACTTCCAGGTCCTTCTCAGCTGAACTGCTCTCTAGTGGGTGAGCCCTCAACCTGTGCTGGTACCTGGGGCTCTTCCTCCCCAGGGGCAGGACCCTACAATGGTATCTTATGCATCTTCTTCAACATCCAAGTGGAAACAAACTTTCATTGACCACATCAGGTTTTCCTCTTGGAAGGAGGACAAACTTGCAAAGACGTGCTGCTCTCCATCCATCAGAACCAGGGCTTGTGGGGAAGAGAAGATGAAAAGCGACGGGAAAGAAAGCAATTGAAATGCATTAAAAACCCCTCAAATCTGCTAAGTATGTAGTCATTCAGCCTCCACAGATTACAAGGTAACATATGGCCAATGGCTAGTGCAGCGATTTTTATTCCCTTAGTGTTCAAAAAATACACAGGTGTAAAGACAAACTACTTTAAATAATCATTTTGAGCTCTGATCAGTGCATTATGGAGGGGAAAAAAATCCCCACAAACTTCCCATCTCTAATGGATTCTGCATAGTAGGTTTCTAGCCTGCTAGAGTCTCTGATGAGTACAACTGACACCACTGTAAAGACAAAACAAGAGCAAATGAAGGACAAAGCTCTGTAACACAAACCCTACAGTGCCAGTTTACTGACCTCCTTTTCTCACTCGCAAATCAGTAGTATTTTTGCTTGAGGTTGATAGGAAGCATAGTGTCTAAAGGCATAGAAATGTGCAAACATCAAATATATTCTGCACTTCTCAGTTTATTGAGAAGGATGTTAGACAAGAAAGAAAGAATACAGAAAAGTCTACATTGAGTGGAGGAACCAGATAATTCCAGAAACAGACTTGGAAAACGTGCTTTCCTACCTGCTTTGAAACTGATGCTACAGATTCAAAACAGGAAACAAAGAACAGAGAAAGCTCCTGACACATTATTTTCATAGCATCATTAAATACATGCTACAAGGGACAAACGTGCAGTTCCACGTATTTGTGGGTTTTGTGTTGGTTTGGTTTTAACAGCCAAAGACACAAATGACTAAATGCTACTCAGGTCAAGTATTTCTCCGTTTTAAAGTATCCAGCACCATCCTAAAACCCTCTAACAGCTTGCAAATGTACCCACATCCCCATGCTTCCCAATGTAAGTATAGCTGAAAGGATGTACTCCGAGTTTATTTCTCATCATCTATTTATTGCAGCATCTGACTGGAAGCTTCTTTAAGTCTGAGAGCTCAGAACTGACTGATTCCCAAGCCGAAGATGCTCAAGGACTTTCCTGAATGGCTCCATGAAAGAGCCATCTAGCATGCTGCTTAGAGGAAAAGTGTGTTTTCAGGAACAGGAAACACCAAGGGAAGGAAAGGGAAGCAAGAATCCCACTACTGGGAGCTGCTGCAATCAGCCACCACCAACCAAACAGTGGATTCAGGTGGAAGAGAAAAAGAAAGCAGGAAAAATAACTCACAGGAGGCAGCAATCAACCCTGAGCCCCTGCTCCCTGCATCCCTCCTCTTCATTTTGAGACCTATCAATGAGCGACAAACTAAAGAACTACAAGAGAGCAGCCACGGCTGAAGAGGAAAGCCCAGCTCCCACTGCTCCTCTTCCCATCTATTTCCAGCTACTGGGAAACAGAAGGAGGTAAAGATGTTATGGTAAAGTTCCACTTTTGGGGCAGGTAATACTGATGTGTATAATGAGAGTGTCCAACGGGAAGGCCTTAGTGCATGGTCCCTACTATCAAAATTTATACCCTCAGAAAGTACATCAGGATAAGGGAACGCTGTTCATGGACCAGAGATCTCTGGCAACTCTAATACTGATGCTTCTTACCGGCAAGGTGGCAGCAGGGGTCATTGCTTTGTTTCGTAACAGCTCCCTACCCCAAGCCTTCAGCTATGGCAAGGCTATTATATTCCTGATCAGTCATGAAGCCCTGCCTCAGAAATAGCTTCTGTCTCCCTTCTGCTCTGCTTAGAGCTCTGTTCAAACACTGAAGATACAATGGCAAGTGCATCACATCCTAAATGTGCACTGAGGTGTACGGAACACAGGAACACCGACTGACCAGCTGTGCTCCTCACTGCCAGCAAACCTTAGAGGCTCTG